AAAAAAAAAGAGATCATTGCTGTGATTTTCCTGAAATGATGTAAAACATGAATACAGATATCCAGAAAGCACAACATATACCAGTAGGTTAAATGAAAAGAAATCCATACCTAGACACAAGTAATGAAACTGCAGAACACTAAAGACAAACAGAAAATCTGAAAAGTCACAGAAAAAGAACAAAAAAAATCAGAATGGAAAAAGGCAAAACTATAGAGACAGTAAAAATATCAGTGGTTGCTAAGGGGTTGGTAGAATGGAGGGAGGGTTGAATAGGTGGAGCACAGGGAATTTTTTAGGGCAGTGAAACTATTCTGCATGATACTATAATGGTGGATACATGACATTACACATTTGACAAAACCCTTAGAATTGTACAACACAAAAAGTGAACCTTAATGTAAACTATGGACTTTAGTTGATAAAAACGTACCAATACCAGTTCATCAATCGTAACAAATGTACCACATTAACGCAACTGTGGGTGGGGGCAGCATATGGGGACTCTCTGCACTTTATGCTCAACTTTTCTGTAAACCTAACATTGCTCTAAAAAAATAGAGTCTATTAATTTTTTAAAAAATCAGTTAAAAGTTTAATGAGTCTTAAATACTAACTGTGGGCTAGTATGTCAGTTTGTAACAGCTGGGAGCCCCACATACAAGCAGTGTTTATACTCACTTGCAAGCTCTTCTCCATGGACCTACACTAGGTGCTAATGAGAAAGACTGGGCACCAAGCAGAACAAAGACAGCCCCCATCAGGAGCAAAACTGCCTCCACTATAAGCCTAGCAACAAGCAATAGCAGTCTATTTCTGGAGGAAAGACAAAAGTGTGGAGAAAGCTCCATCCACCTCTGTGATGCTAGTATGTAAGAATAGCTGAAAACAGAAGAGGAAGCAGGAACACCTGATACTCCAGTCCCCACCCTAAGCATAAGGTAACAGCAGTCCACCACTAGAGAAATTTGAAGACTGAGGTGTACTGAAGGTAATGATAACAATAACGATACCCAAACCCAGCTCAACTCTTGACTATATTAGTTCAATCCTCCACACTAACGCTTGATAGAAGAAGAAGCATGTCCATTTCTAGACCTAAATACTATTTACTTCAGTCTATACTGTTCTTCTACACGCAATGTCTGGCAGTCAATCAAAAATTACAAGACATACTAAAAGGTAAGACAAAATAACTCACTGTCAAGAGATAAGGCAATCAACAGAACCAGATTGAGCAATGACCCTGATGTTGGAACTATCAGATAGGAAATTTAAAATAACTATAATTAATACGTTAAAGAGTCTAATGGAAAAAGTAGAGTACATGCATGAACAGCTGGAAATTTTCAGGAAAAATGAAAACTCTAAGAAAAAATCAAATGGAAATGCCAGAAATAAAAATCATGATTATCAGAGATTAAGAATTCCTTTGATGGGCTCATCAGTATACGGACACAGGTGAAGAAAGACTCCATGATCTTAAAGATAGGTCAGTAGAAATTATCCAATGAAATACAAATAGAGAAAAAAAAAAGTGTGAAAAAAAGCAGAACAGAGTATTCAAGTGCTGTGGGGCAATATTAAACCGTCTAATTTACATATAATTGAAGTCTCAAGGGCAGAAGAAATACTTAAAGTGTTAATGATGTGGAATTTCCCAAAAATAATGAAAGACATCACCACAGATCCAAGAATCTCAAAGAACCCTAAGTAAACAGGAGAAGAAGGGGGGGGGGAAAAACCACACACAAAAACTTTATACACATCACAGTCTAACTAACAAAAACCAAAGAGAAAAGCTTGAGAGTACCCAAAGGGGGAAAAAAATCATACAGAGAAATAAAGATAAAAATTACAGTAGATTTCTCATTAAAAAGTAATTTTAAAAAAATCATAACTATTATACAGAATTTATATCACTACCTCAAGAAGAAATTTTAAAACTCTAAGAGGTTCTATAATCTCTGTTATATTTACCATTACCTGCTCCTTTTACAAAATTCACTTTCTATGTATCTTGTAGGCAGTTTAACCCACTCAACTGGAGTCATGAAGTGCCTTGAGTCAGAAATTCTTGGGAATCTGGAATGCAGTTTGGCCTTCTCAGCCTCTTTAAATTCTTTCATTGTATATATTTTGCCTGCAGGAAGATTAGTAATCTAAATTAGCACCCTTAAATGCAACTCCAGTTGTTTTGGGGCCATGAAATCACACAACAATTATCAGAAACTAAGTACCAGTCTCACACTGAAGAAGAGTTCTTTTTTCTTCATCCTTATCATATTGTGCCTTTTTCAAAGGGTCACGGAATGGTGGGATGATAACCTACAAGAGAAGCACCTCTTTGAGGGTTGGGCTGCAGGTCTGAATATTAAACTTTTTCAGTCTACCCTAAGTATCCACATACAGTTCTTGTACCAGAAGTGTCAAAAATACAGTATCTACAAACTAAGACCAAGCTAATCATTGTATCTATTTAACAGATTACAAAGAGAGGGGAATTCTACAATATTTCTCTTAAGAAGGTCCTCCAGCCAAAGAGGCAAGGTTAGCTCTTGTTTCTAAGTGTGCATTCAGTCTACAATAAATTATTTTCTTGTCATCATAAATTCAAAATTTAAAAATTCCTTTAACATGCACAAAAGAAAAAGATAACCATATATTCATGTTAATCCATAATGTCCAGAATTTACAACATAAGTAACAACTGTGCAAAATGAACCAAAATCCTTTCAAAACGTAGATCATCTGTGAGCCAAGGTACTGAAGCCTTAAATCTATTTTTTTAACTGCAGTGCATAAATATGTAACAAAACATTTGCCATTTCAACATTTTTACATGTACAATTCAGTGACATTAATTGCATTCATCATATTGTTCAACCATCACCACTATTTCCAAATATTTCTGTCATCTGTAATAGAAGCTCAGTGTCCCCTATGCAATGAGTCCCCATCCCTACATCTATTTTAATGACCAATGACATCAACATCAAAATAACATTTCTACATAAGAGTATTCAGCAACAGTTCCCTTTCATGGTCTAGCCTAGCAATGAAATTTCACCACAAGTTAAACAGGTCACCCATATATATTTCTAATAATAATCAGGCTTGGTTTTCTGGGATAAATATAATACAAAATACTACTTTTTACAGGCAAAATAAACAGGGATCAGACTGCCGCCCAGAATTTTGCTTTTACAGAAGTTATAAAGAATGCTACTTATCCCTGACGGAGCAGGAGAAAAGTGGGGTGCAGAACTCAAATTCATGTAAAAAGACCAGACTTAACGGTCTGACTGAGACTGGAGGTACCCTGGGAGACATGACCCCCGGAATCTCTGTTAGCCCAGAACTGAAACCATTCCCAAAGCCAACTTTTCAGACATAGATTAGACTGGACTATAAGACATAAAATGATACTCGTGAAGAGAGTGCTTCTTAGCTCAAGTAGATACATGAGACTAAATGGGCAGCTCCTGTCCGGAGGCAAGATGAGAAGGCAAAAAGGGACAGGGGCTGGTTGAATGGACACAGGAAATCCAGGGTGGAAAGGAGGAGTGTGTTGTCACATTATAGGGAGAGCAACTAGGGTCACATAACAATGTGTGTATAAATTTTTGTATGAGAAACTAACTTGAACTGTAAACTTTCGTTTAAAGTACAATAAAAAAAGAATGCTACTTATAAGATATTAAGAAAACTTTAACTCACTATAAAAAGAGACAGAAACAGTACTATCACTTTAAAGTATTTGTATGTGATCCATTTATATATGAATAACAAAGCAAATTTTAAATTGAAGAGAGAAGTACATTTTAAAGGTTTATCAACAATTATAAGTCCTTCTGCGACTCTTCTACCTTTACAGACAAGCACTTGAGACCATAAAAAATTTGAATGGAGGTATTATAACCTTGTTGTTGCTGTTAGGTGGCGTTGAGTCAGTCCCGACTCATAGCGACCCTGTGTACAACAGAACAAAACACTGCCTGGTCCTGCGTCATCCTCACAATCATTGTTATGTTTGAGCCCACTGTTGCAGCCACTGCGTCAATCCATTTCATTGAGGGTCTTCCTCTTTTTTGCTGACCCTCTACCAAGCATGATGTTCTTCTCTAGGGACGGATCCCGCCCAATAACATGTCCAAAGTGTGTGAGACGTAGTCTCGCCATCTGCGCTTCTAAGGAGCATTCTGGCTGTATTTCTTCCAAGACAGATTTGTTCGTTCTTTTGGCAGTCCATGGTATATTCAATATTCTTCACCGACGTCACAATTCAAAGGCATCAATTCTCCGACAGTCAATTCTTCCTTATTTATCGCCCAGCTTTTGCTTGCACATGAGGCAACTGAAAACACCATGGGATTGGGTCAGGCGCACCTTAGTTTTCAAAGTGACATCTTTACTTTTTAATACTATAAAGAGGTCTTTTGCAGCAGATTTGCCCAGTGTAATACACCTTTTCATTTCTTGACTGCTGCTTCCATGGGCATTGATTGTGGACCCAAGTAAAATGAAATCCTCGACAACTTCAATCTTTTCTCCTTTTATCATGATATTCCTTACTGGTTCGGTTGTGAGGATTTCTGTTTTCTTTATGTTGAAGTGTAATCCATATTGAAGGCTGTAGTCTTTGATTTTCTTCAGTAAGTGCTTCAAGTCCTCTTCACTTTCAGCAAGTGAAGTTGTGTCATCTGCATAACACAGGTTGTTAATGAGTCTTCCTCCAATCCTGATGTCCCGTTCTTCTTCATATAGTCCAGCTTCTCAGATTATTTGCTCAGCATACAAACTGAGTAAGTATGGTGAAAGGATACAACGCTGATGCACACCTTTCCTGACTTTAAACCACGAAGTATCCCCTTGTTCTGTTTGAACGACTGCCTTTTGATTTATGTACAGGTTCCTCATGAGCACAATTAAATGTCAGAATTCCCATTCTTTGCAATGTTATCCATAATTTGTTATGATCCACACAGTCAAATGCCTTTGCACAGTCAAGAAAACACTGGTGAACATCTTTCTGGTATTCTCTGCTTTCAGCCAGGATCCATCTGACATCAGCAATGATATCCCTGGTTCCATGTCCTCTTCTGAATCTGGCTTGAATTTCCAGCAGTTACCTGTCGATGTACTGCTCAGCTGCTTTCAAATGATCTTCAGTAAAATTTTACTTTCATGTGATATTAATGATATGGTTTGTAATTCTGCATTCAGTTGGATCATCTTTCTTTGGAATAGGCATAAATATGAATCTCTTCTAATCAGTTGGCCAGGTAGCTGTCTTCCAAATTTCTTGGCACATTAGAGTGAGCACTTCCAGCGCTGTATCCATTTGTTGAAACATCTCAATTGGTATTCCGTCAATTCTGGGAGCCTCGTTTTTCACCAATGCCTTCAGTGCAGCTTGGACCTCTTCCTTCAGTACCATCAGTTCCTGATCATATGCTACCTCCTGAAATGGTTGAACATAGACCAATTCTTTTTGGTATAGTGACTCTGTGTATCCTTTCCATCTTCTTTTGATGCTTCCTGCGTTGTTTAATATTTTTCCCATAGAATCCTTCAATATTGCAACCCGAGGCTTGAATTTTTTCTTCAGTTCTTTCAGTTTGACAAATACTGAGTATGTTCTTCCCTTTTGGTTTTCTAACTCCAGGTCTTTGCCCATGTCATTATAATACTTTGTCTTCTTGAGCTGCCCTTTGAAATCTTCTGTTCAGCTCTTTTACTTCATCATTTCTTCCATTTGCTTTTGCTACTCGATGTTCAAAAACAAGTTTCAAAGTCTCTTCTGACATCCACTTTGGTCTTTTCTTTCCTTCTTGTCTTTTTAATGACCTCTTGCTTTCTTCATGTATGACGTGCTTGATATCATTCCACAACTTGGCTGGTCTCCGGTCACTAGTGTCCAACGCATCAACTCTATTCTTGAGATGGTCTCTAAATTCAGGTGGAATATACTCAAGGTCCTACTTTGGCTCTTGTGGACTTTTTCTAATTTTCTTCAGCTTCAACTTGAACTTGCATACAAGCAATTGACAGTCTGTTCCACAGCTGGCCCCTGGCCTTGTTCTGACTGATGATATTGAGCTTTTCCATCATGTCTTTCCACAGATGTAGTCAATTTGATTCCTGCGTATTTCATCGGGCGAGGTCCATGTGTATAGTCGCCATTTACGTTGGTGAAAAAAGGTATTTGCCATGAAGAAGTTGTTGGTCTTGCAAAATTCTATCATGCAATCCCTGGCATCATTTCTGTCACCAAGGCGGTATTTTCCAAGTGCCGATCCTTATTTCTTCCAACTTTTGCATTCCAATCACCAGTAATTATCAATGATTCCTGATTGCATGTTTGATCAATTTCAGACTGCAGAAGTTGGTAAAAATCTTTAATTTCTTCATCTTTGGCCTTAGTGGTTGGTTCTCAAACTTTTTTATTTTGGGGCCCATATTTATTATGATGATTGTTGTTGTTGTCGTTGTTATTGACTATAAAAAGCTTTCGTATATGTGGGTTAGATTGATCAATATTTACTAAATTGGAACTTAAAACTAAAAACATTAAATTTTATTAATTCATTAAAAAAAAATACTAAACCTATTACATTCAACGTAACTTTTTATAAAAAATAACTATATTTTCCAAAACAAAAAAATTAGTGAGAAGAATGACATTGGTTTACATTTTTGTAAATCTCTTTAATGTCTTGCTTAATAGAAGACAAAAGGATTCTCACATCTACTTCTTTGTGCAATTTGTTGACATAGGTTGTTTTAGTTGAAGTATATGAAGAAAATCCAGACAGAGTCATGTAGTTGGAAAAAGAAGGAATACTTTTATAGCTTTTTCAGATAATTGTGGATATTCTATTTTGATACTATATCCAAACTTGACAAGTGGTAGTTTCTCTTTTTTTTTTTTTTTTTTTTTTACTGTACTTCAGGTGAAGGCTTACAGAACAAATAGTTTCTCACGAAACAGTAGTACACATATTGTTTTATGACACTGGTTAACAACGCCAC